TGGGGGAGTAAGTAAGGAAGAGGGGGTATAGAAGTTGGGCAGAGTAGGTACGGAGGAGGTGGTATTGGGGTTGGGTGAGTAGGTATGGAGGAGGGGGTTAGAAATGAAGACTGATTGGTTAGTGCACTCTTAGTGGGTGTGTAGGGTATGTTGTGTGCAGCTCCTTTTGTTATTAAACTGAGGTGTCTAACTGTATAATATGAACATGAAAAAGGAAAGGAAGGAGCGCAACTGACTGGCGCACGCTGTGTGGATGGAAAATAATTAGGGAGTGGGAATGAACAGTGATGTTTAGCACTTATGTGTGATGCAATGCAAGGGTGTAGAATTCCTATCGCCCGACGCCCGGGACAATTTCAGTTGTAGAGTGTACCATAGAACCTATTTTGGATTTAATTTTAGCTATATAAGTAATGGATTGTTTAGTCCTAAGCTCTTTCGCCAGAAATGTACTAGTTTATTCCCCATCTCATAGTATTGTCTAGAAATCATATTAAATGCACGTTTAGTGTCCGCCTCTAAAACTGCTTTAAGTTTTCCCCTCTTCAGAGTAAATTCTCTAAAGATCCTAGGGTCTACTGTACATTTATGAGTTGTTTCCAACTGTTGAATCCCTTCTAATAATGATTGTAAGGTTCGAGTCCTCTTTTTCTTACGACTAGCACCTATGGCAACCAACTTGCTTCTAAGCACTGCTTTATGTGCCTCCCATAAAGTTGCGGGAGATACTCCTTCAGTTATGTTATCCCAAAAGTAATCTTTTAGAACACTTTCCAATTCCTGGACAATTATCAGATCCTGTAGCAAAGAATCGTTCAGCTTCCAATTATATTGCTTCCCCATCTGTGCAGAAATGTTCAAGGACAACATAACTGGTGCATGATACAAGATCGTCATGGGAAGTATACGTGAAGACCCTACAGATTCCATTGCCACACGATCTATCAGTATCCAGTCCAGTCTAGAATAAGAATTATGTAACTTAAATAATATGTATAGTGTCATTCTTTAGGATGCAATATTCACCAGGTATTGGTGAGGTGTCTAACATTGGGTCCAAACATAAATTAAAATCTCCAGCCATAACCAGTATCCCCCTCCGAAATTCCCCAAGCCGCCTAATCATCTTCAATAGGAAAGGGACCTGTAGCTGATTCGGGCCATACACCTTCACCAATGTGCAATCAATTCCATTAATAGTTACATGTAGGAACAGAAATCTTCCCTCTGTATCTGCCAGGCAAGAGTGTACTTGTACTGACACACTTATTATTTGATAAACTATAATACCATTGAGCATAATTTCTAGAGCATAAATAAGATGTTGATGTATGAGAGAAATGTGTTTTCTTGTAAAAAAAAGAAAAAAAAGAAATCACATCTGCCTCATATATCGTTGCATTTCAGATAATATCTGGTGTCTCTTAAATGTTGAGTTTAACCCCTTAACATTATAAGTAATTA